CAGATTAGAACTAACACTCTACAGAACAGAACTAACACTGTGCAGATTAGAACTAACACTCTACAGAACAGAACTAACACTGTGCAGATTAGAACTAACACTCTACAGAACAGAACTAACACTGTGCAGATTAGAACTAACACTCTACAGAACAGAACTAACACTGTGCAGATTAGAACTAACACTCTACAGAACAGAACTAACACTGTGCAGATTAGAACTAACACTCTACAGAACAGAACTAACACTGTGCAGATTAGAACTAACACTCTACAGAACAGAACTAACACTGTGCAGATTAGAACTAACACTCTACAGAACAGAACTAACACTGTGCAGATTAGAACTAACACTCTACAGAACAGAACTAACACTGTGCAGATTAGAACTAACACTCTACAGAACAGAACTAACACTGTGCAGATTAGAACTAACACTCTACAGAACAGAACTAACACTGTGCAGATTAGAACTAACACTCTACAGAACAGAACTAACACTGTGCAGATTAGAACTAACACTCTACAGAACAGAACTAACACTGTGCAGATTAGAACTAACACTCTACAGAACAGAACTAACACTGTGCAGATTAGAACTAACACTCTACAGAACAGAACTAACACTGTGCAGATTAGAACTAACACTCTACAGAACAGAACTAACACTGTGCAGATTAGAACTAACACTCTACAGAACAGAACTAACACTGTGCAGATTAGAACTAACACTCTACAGAACAGAACTAACACTGTGCAGATTAGAACTAACACTCTACAGAACAGAACTAACACTGTGCAGATTAGAACTAACACTCTACAGAACAGAACTAACACTGTGCAGATTAGAACTAACACTCTACAGAACAGAACTAACACTGTGCAGATTAGAACTAACACTCTACAGAACAGAACTAACACTGTGCAGATTAGAACTAACACTCTACAGAACAGAACTAACACTGTGCAGATTAGAACTAACACTCTACAGAACAGAACTAACACTGTGCAGATTAGAACTAACACTCTACAGAACAGAACTAACACTGTGCAGATTAGAACTAACACTCTACAGAACAGAACTAACACTGTGCAGATTAGAACTAACACTCTACAGAACAGAACTAACACTGTGCAGATTAGAACTAACACTCTACAGAACAGAACTAACACTGTGCAGATTAGAACTAACACTCTACAGAACAGAACTAACACTGTGCAGATTAGAACTAACACTCTACAGAACAGAACTAACACTGTGCAGATTAGAACTAACACTCTACAGAACAGAACTAACACTGTGCAGATTAGAACTAACACTCTACAGAACAGAACTAACACTGTGCAGATTAGAACTAACACTCTACAGAACAGAACTAACACTGTGCAGATTAGAACTAACACTCTACAGAACAGAACTAACACTGTGCAGATTAGAACTAACACTCTACAGAACAGAACTAACACTGTGCAGATTAGAACTAACACTCTACAGAACAGAACTAACACTGTGCAGATTAGAACTAACACTCTACAGAACAGAACTAACACTGTGCAGATTAGAACTAACACTCTACAGAACAGAACTAACACTGTGCAGATTAGAACTAACACTCTACAGAACAGAACTAACACTGTGCAGATTAGAACTAACACTCTACAGAACAGAACTAACACTGTGCAGATTAGAACTAACACTCTACAGAACAGAACTAACACTGTGCAGATTAGAACTAACACTCTACAGAACAGAACTAACACTGTGCAGATTAGAACTAACACTCTACAGAACAGAACTAACACTGTGCAGATTAGAACTAACACTCTACAGAACAGAACTAACACTGTGCAGATTAGAACTAACACTCTACAGAACAGAACTAACACTGTGCAGATTAGTAAAATTAGAACTAATTTGTTATAAATTAGAACTAACTTGTTATAAAATAGAACTAGCTTGGTATAAATTAGAACTAATGTGGTTTAAATTAGAACTAACTTGTTATAAAATAGAACTAACTTGATATAAATTAGAACTAACTTGGTATAAATTAGAACTAACATGGTATAAAATAGAACTAACTTGGTATAAATTAGAACAAACTTGGTTAAAATTTTAGAACTAACTTGTTATAAAATAGAACTAACTTGGTATAAATGAGATATAACATGGTATAAATTAGGTTTATAACGTGGTTTAAATTAGAACTAACATAAATTAGATATAACGTGGTATAAATTAGATATAACGTGTAATAAAATAGAACTAACAAGCCATCACACGCTACAGACTTGAACTAACACTGTGCAGAATAGAACTAACACTGTGCAGATTAGAACTAACACTCTACAGAATAGAACTAACACTGTGCAGATTAGAACTAACACTCTACAGAATAGAACTAACACTGTGCAGATTAGAACTAACACTCTACAGAATAGAACTAACACTGTGCAGATTAGAACTAACACTCTACAGAATAGAACTAACACTGTGCAGATTAGAACTAACACTCTACAGAATAGAACTAACACTGTGCAGATTAGAACTAACACTCTACAGAATAGAACTAACACTGTGCAGATTAGAACTAACACTCTACAGAATAGAACTAACACTGTGCAGATTAGAACTAACACTCTACAGAATAGAACTAACACTGTGCAGATTAGAACTAACACTCTACAGAATAGAACTAACACTGTGCAGATTAGAACTAACACTCTACAGAATAGAACTAACACTGTGCAGATTAGAACTAACACTCTACAGAATAGAACTAACACAGTGTTAGTTCTATTCTGTAGAGTGTTAGTTCTATTCTGCAGCGTGTTAGTTCTAATCTGTCTGTAGCGTGTGAGTTCTAATCTGCAGATTAGAACTAACACTCTACAGAACGGAACTAACACTGTGCAGATTAGAACTAACACGCTACAGAATAGAACTAACATAGAATAAGTTAGAACTAACAATGCATAGGTACGAATTAGAATGAAACAAGATCAGTAAAATATGGAACTTACACACAATAGTGTCATGCAACCTGGGACATATGCGACCTTTTGCTTCTTCTTTCCCTCCAAAGCAACTCCAATGCCCCTGATAATTTCATTATAAAAGAACGGGGCCCATGCAACAGAATTGACCCTCTGAATGCTATCCAGGTACCTGAGTAAGGGTCTAGGGATACCTTCCCCTGCTATGGGACTCCATATCATAGAGCATTGGTACAAAATTTGTAGCAGAGCAAAATCCTCGATATCCCGCTTTTTGGTAGATTCAACAAGCCGTTCAAGTAGCCCTTCAAGATGTTTACGTTGGCTGGTTTCTGATTTTTTTAACTTCTTACCCTCTTCAGAAATGAAAAGCTTAGCGAAGTATTCCAGCCATATTCTGCTTCTTGAGTCCCTATTGTTCCTTATGTCCTCCCCATAAATTGGGAAATAAGTATGGTTGTGGACCCATTGCAAATCAAAACTAACATTTTTCATACCCCCACTTTTTGAATCAGGTATACAAAAGGTGTTATTATCTCTATCGAAAAAGCTCAGCAGCAGCTCAAGGGTGGGCCGATCAGCCGCAGGAGCCCCAAACAAAATGTAGTGCTGAAATATAGAACCGCAGTATGCATCCCTATGCCACTGACGGATCTTCGGGGCAAGGCGCTTCATAAATGCCCAATAAGCCCCGATATTGGCCGTTAACCTTAGTGTTTCTGCTGAGCCTGTTAGAGCAATTTTTTCCCTGCAAAAAATTTTCGAATTTGTAAGTTCAATAAGACATATGAAACAATATTAGACCTAGCACTAACGGGAACAAAATAGAGCTAACACGTAATATTATAGAACTAACATTGGACTCATATTAGAACTAACATTGGACTTAAACTAGATCTAACGTTGGTATAAATTTAGAACTAACATTGGACAAAGCCTAGAACTAACAATATTGGGTTAATCTGCATTGTCTGTTCGCAGTATAACATAACACTTACTGTTTTTTTGAGGGGGGTTCGTTGGTACGACCAGCCATTGTCGTCCTCCTTTTCTGGTCTCGCCATTGTAATGCCTCCTTTTGCATTTCGATTAGGGTTTTCGTAGCTTCCGTAGCTTCCTCCGTGCTGCCACCCGCAGATGAAGCGCCTTTTCCTTCCAACTCGGCTCGGTGCCCGACCTCGTAGTCGTTACTGGATTTTTCCGTAGACGACGACATTTTTCCGGCGAAAACTCTAGAAACGTTGAAATTCGTACAGAAATTAGGAAGATGAAGAGTTCTTGATGACGGTGCTAGGTGGAAGAGAGAGAAAGAGAGGGAGAGTACTTGTAAAGGTGAGGGGCACATTAACCCAGCTCAGTCCCATCAGAGGGCAAGATAGTAACTTCCCCTGGGCTTTTTCTGAAAAGAGTCAATTCGGGGCCTCGTCGCAAATACTATGCGTATTTGGGGCTATTCCACATGGGGCAAAGTACAGGGGGGCTAGTCACACGAAGTTCCCACTTTTGGGGCCTGGACACATTTTTCCCCTAAAACAAACCCATATTTTCCATTTTCTATACACCAATAGTACTGTTTACACTACCATTAAAAAAAGTTTTTATTGATTGAGATGTGAATATGACCAAAGAAATATTAGATTATTAATATTTTTATTTGATCCTCATAAAATTAATTGCTTTCTTTTAAACTTTAATGAGTAAATTTGACATACATATTTAAGTTTGTTGGAGATATTACGAGTTTCATGATTATTATCTAGCTCCATAGAAAAAGGTATATACTACTAATTTCCAAAAGAAAAACAATGGTCTAGTAAATATTTATCTAAATCCAATTTACTATCTCCAGGTAATTAGATGAGCCAAAATTTTTGGAAGATGTTTATCTGCAAAAAAAAAGTAAAATGATTAATTTCACAAGACAATTCTACTATCAAATATCAAAAACATGGGGGTCCATATGCAAAAGTTCTCTCTTCTCTGGAATAAAAATTCGAGCTTTATCTGAAAACCCATACGCCTCCTCTTTTGCTTTGCTGTCCCCAGATCAATTTCCTCAAAATTTGGGAATTAATCAATTCCGTAATTTATCATCGACATCAAATTTCTGGTATCCCTATCGTCTCAAATCTCTCAATTTAGATTCTTTTCCTCTTTTCCGCAAAATTTTCAGTTATTTTTTAATTCTAGGGATTGAATTTCTTGCAGTTTAGATTCATTTCGAGGAAAAATTTGGAATCTTTTGGTATCATTCATTGTTATAATCCATCACAAGACCCCTAAATTTGTGTGGAATATGATTGGTTGATGATCAATTTGCAAAAAAGTTATCTTTTATGCTATCATATGCTATGCTATTATCTGGAGAATGAATTTGTAGCTGCTAATCTTATGTTTAGAATATTGTAAGTGGAATTTTACTTTGATCATTGTCCGTCAACTCCATTGATAGTGAGAATTCTTTGCTGATAATTGCATTTTGAACTAAGCAACTTGTATCATATTGGTGGAAGGTAATTTATGAAAGCACTGTTAACATTGAATTACTTGGCCTTTAACCTGTTGGGTTTATTTAATATACTTTTCTCATGTACTAATGAAAAATATGAATATTGTAGAGCCATTTTGCTTTATGTTATCGATCTCTAGGCTTCTGTAGGCTCTTCAGCTTTGCTGAGGTTTTGCGAAGATCTTCATTCTGGGTTCCAGTGCATTTAATTTAATAAAGTTGATTGTTTTAGTGCCTGCCTATGTGATATAAATTGTCGAATCGTATGCACTTGTGCTATACTTGCAGAAGGAATTTCCCCTTTGTCAAATCTTGAATTGCAAGAGATATGGTGAAGATAGAGGGCACAATTCCGTTTTCTTCAGCCTACAAACATGATAGGGAAAGCCGAGATGATGAAAATTTTATATCAGATTTATGGGGTGCAGCAGAAAAGGTTACAAACTCAATATCAACGGGATCATTGAAGCCCAGTAATCTTTATTCATCCAATTTGATTGGTGAATATGATTGGGAAAATGATCTGTCTATTTGCACTCAGCCCAGAGCAAACCCTGAAGTGAACTTGAAGAATTTATTTGGTGGCTTAGTTTCAATTATATTTGGCCACGTTAAAAATTTTAGTGGTATCCAACATCAGCAAACTTCAAATTCCAATGCATCCTTTTTAGGATCTGGAACCGATGGGGATAGTTTTCTACATCCCTCAGTTTGTGTGCCAAGTGCACCACCATTGCTTATCGCAGAAGCTGTCCACTATAGTGCTTACAGGGAGGTACTTGAAGCAGAACCACCAGAGTGGATTCCGGATAGTCATGCTAATTCTTGTATGAAGTGTGATTCTCCTTTCACAGCGATAACTCGGGGAAGACATCATTGTAGATTTTGTGGAGGGATTTTCTGCAGAGCATGCTCAAAGGGGAGATGTTTGTTACCCATCAAATTCCGGGAGCGAGAACCTCAAAGAGTTTGTGATATTTGTTATGACAGGCTTGACCCTTTGCAGGGAATCTTAATTAACTCTATCAGCAATGCCATGCAATCAGCAAAACATGATGTTATGGATTGGACATGCACTCGAGGATGGTTAAATTTGCCTCTGGGTTTATCAATGGAACATGAGATATACAAAGCAGCAAATACTTTGAGGAGCTACTGCCAGGTTAATGTTCTTACTATTTTAATTTGTTTTGTTGTTGTTTAGTTTCAGAGGTCACATACTTTGAATATGCAGGTTGCTCGGTTAAACCCCGAGAAGTCTATTCCTCTAGCGATCCTGAAGGGTGCTAAAGGACTTGCTATTCTGACAGTTGCTAAGGCTGGGGCACTTCTTACTTACAAACTTGGTACTGGTCTGGTAGTATCTCGAAGATCAGATGGGTCATGGTCTGCTCCATCTGCTATAGCTTCTGTTGGGTTAGGATGGGGAGCGCAGGTAGGCATATATCTTCTTTTCTTCTTCTTTTTTTTGGGGGGGTGGGGTCTTCTATCAGGTGTACAACTAGCCATAACGTTACTTAATCATATATCATCTAGTATACGCCTATTTCAAGTTTTATCACTTATTCAGTGAAAGGTTTATAGTAAGTTTGAACACTATATTGTTTTTTGTAAAATGTAATATAAGGAAGTCCTGAAAGTTGTGAAAAAGGAGAAAACAGTTTAAGAGTTTTGGCTACAAACTACTGCTAACATGTGTATAAATGTTACCCTTCGTCAGGTTTAATGGTTTTCATGTATAATGCACCAGTATCAGTCTCACTGTAAAAGTTTAGGACAGAGGGAGAAGAAGATGACGAAGGGATTGGGAGAAGCTAAATTATGCTTGTATTAGGATGCACAGGCAAAGTATTATTTCAAGGTTAGAAACTGTAGGCACTGGCTGATACTTCGGAGAAACGTAATAGGAAAGCAAGTTCCGACTTTTATTATGTGGTTTTTTTAAAAAAATTGGAGGCAAAGTTACTTTTAACAAAGCTAAAAACTATAAAATATGCAGGTTAGATATATGAAAATTCTTGGGGGAGATGTAGGGGGATGGTATGTTTCTTCTAGTATATGTACTTATGTAGTTAGATGTCCTGGCCAGTAAGTTCGGAACTTAACTAGAAAAAAAAAAGAGCAATGGTGGACAGTTCTCGAGTAATTCTGCAAAACATGAGATTGGTTATTATTTGCCAGTTGTCTTTTCTGTATGGTGCAATATAGTTTCTACTTGGATGTTACTATCTTGTATTAGTTTGTCAATATTGAGCTTGATTTTTTTAAAGAAAAGGTTTGAGCCATTTACACGTACACTTGCAAAACACATGCAACAAACTAGTTTTTGAGAAAAAAAAGTTATGCATATGAGGTCATATTTCTACTTGGTTTGGCATGTTCTTCATATGATAAACTCTACACCCCCTTTTTTGTTCCATTGTACAGATTGGGGGTGAGATTATGGATTTCATGATTGTGCTTCATGGCTCTAAAGCTGTCAAGGCATTTACCAGCCGCATGCATTGTTCCGTTGGGGCTGGTTTGAGTGTTGCAGCAGGACCAGTTGGGAGAGTCGTTGAAGCTGATATCCGGGCTGGAGACAGGGGGTCTGGCATGTGCTATACTTACAGCTGTAGCAAAGGTAACATTACTTGAGCTCTTGTGCTGATGAAGTTCGTGGTAGATTTTCATATATTGTGTTTATTATTAATGTGTTATGGATGAATAATTTTAGAATTTACTGGAGCACTGATCCCAATTTATCATGTCTGAGGACTCCAAATATCAGCCTCGTTATCCGTTTTAAGTATGATGTCCATAGAGGGCACCTTGGAATCAAGTAGACTCCATTAAAAATTCACAAGTTGAGATTACTCGAGCATAATATTCACACCTCTAGGTATGGAAGTTTCTTGTCAGGGGCTAATGTAGTTAGGGCGGACCTACAATATCTGCAAAGCTCATTTATCTAGGATCAACTTTAAATATGCCCCTTGAGTGAAAGAGAATGAGAGAATTTCACACGTTTATTCTGAATCTGGACTGCTTATTCCTCTCTTATGGAAGGCATCACTGAGGAACTTTGCCTGACACAAACAAATGAGTAGGATTGTAGTCATTACTACTAATGTATTGGAGTATGATATCATAAGTTGTGATGCTCTGTGCACTATTTCAAATGGACTAGTAACTGTGCACTATTTCAAATGGACTAGTAACTGTTGGGGCTGTTAAGTCCTACTGATGACGTATTTCACCGGTGATCATGATATTAACCCTTAAAGTTATTTAACTGCAATTTTCTTTAGTATGTTCGATTGTACCAGTTGTTCAAAAATACTATTTATCCTACTGTGGTGCTTAAACAAGATATAAGTTTAATGGAGTGTTTTCATACGTATTACCAGATAATGCATTTGAATGATGTTAGTAAGTTTAAGTAATATGTAGTTCTTGAAAAACTATAAATATGAACATTTATATACTAAAAGCTTTGATTGGGGAATGATGTTTGGAAACTTATTGACGTTATGAACGGTTCACATGATCGACACTTAAATGAATCAATGATACAGACAAGTTTACACGAGCAAGATTTTCATAGGACTATGAGATATTGGATTTGAATGGGAATGATTTGTCTCCAAATCCTTTTGAAAGTATCCAAGTGTATTATTACTCTTTTAGTGCATGCATGTGTGAGAGAGGGAGGAATATGGGTTGTTTGAGGAATATTTAAAGATTCTTCGCGTTTGAATTTGCTGTCAGAACCTGCATTTTTTTACTATCCACTGTACTTGTTTAGTTATTTATTTATTTGCATCCTTAAATGTGCATGCATGTTATAATAATAAAATGAATTTTGATTTATTTTTCCCCAACCAAGCACAAATAGACAGTCCAAGATGATGCGTTGCTTAGACTTGCACTATAGGAATATAAACTTTCGGTCCAGATATTTAATCTTGTTCTAAAAGTTTAGAAATCGCTATAAACTAAATTTTATTTGATCTCACATTCTATACCACTATACTAATCAATTCATTATTTTGACTGTTCATTTTACATCTTGGTGATGCATACAGAAAGGAGGTTTAAAAAAATATGACTTTTTTTGGCTTTTAAACACTTAGGGATGATAAAGGTGAGCCGAACCAATCACATGCATTGCCAAACATAAGAATTTGACCCTAAATGTTTCTGAATGAAGCCACGTCTCCCTTCCTCTGTGTAAACATGTATATTACTTTAATTTATGAAATTCAACTATTTTATTCCATGGGACCTAATGTATCTTTTTCTATATGTAATAAAAAAAATTCAGGTGCTTTTGTTGGAGTCTCACTGGAAGGAAACATTGTTGCAACTCGGACGGATACCAATCTAAAGTTTTACGGTGATCCTTATATGTCTACAACCGATATATTGCTGGGGAATGTGGAGTCTCCCAAAGCTGCAGCTCCTCTGTACGCTTCTCTTGATGATCTCTTCTCAAAGATAGGACGTTAGAAGCTTTTACATATGGATTTCTCTTGTATATATCTTGTTAGTCTGGAATACTTGCTTGAAAGTTGAAACCCCTGATAGGTCTCTTTTGTGGTCTTCATATACTTTACTATACTCTCAAAGATAGCATGAATTGTATATTCTTGTTGAATAACATTGTTTCTATATCAGACAGTAGCTACACTTGTGTATATATGTTGCAGCCAATATATGTGATTTATTGCACTTTAAAGTATTTTGAAGTTGCATGGTTTTGGTGCACGATGCATTTGTAGTCAATTAGTTGTATGAAAAATGTAAACCTATTCCAATGTCCCTAAACTGAAAGGGAGAAGAAATGTAAAATCATCAAGACAGTAACCAGTTTCCTTCATTTTAATTCTTACTCGAGATTCTTTGATGGTTTTGCTCTTGGATGAAATACTTCATAACATTTTGAAGTTGCGTGGATTTGATGCATGCTGCATTTATAGTCAATTAGCCATTAGAGTCCAAAAAATGCGAAACTATTCCAATGTCCTTAAATTAAGAAGGGAGAAAGAATGTATAATCATCGAGACAGTAACCGGTGTCCTTCATTTTAATTCTTCCTTGAGATTGTTTGATGATTTTTTCCTTATATGAAACATTAAAACAAATTGATTGCTTACAAGATTGAATAGAATGTTACAACCAATATGTAGCACTACATACAAAAGCTTGTGCTTCACAGAGGTATACAGACTTATAAATAAAATGCTTTAGGTAACTAGTGTTATTAGCTAAATCTATGTCGATATGGAAGTGCCAGTTTCATCCAATTTTGTTGTCTCCAAAAGTATAGTAAAACATATGTAGTCCTGGTTTATAGAAGCGATAATGAGCACTTCTGTGATAGATGAGGGAAGTTATTGAGGAGCAGAGCCTGCAAGATTCGACACATGTTTACAGTTAGTTACTTGTTAATCATACCATACACAAAAATATGAAAACTTATAGGAATCTACCTTGTGTCTCTTTATTGATTCTATCCCTTTGCTGAGTGTCACGATACCATAATCGAAACCTATCCTGCAATCAAGAGAAACCTGCACAACAAGAAGTCAAGGAACAAACACACACCATTAATACCATAAAATATCAAAGCTTGACATTTGATTAAGAAGGGAACGAACCTTAATTCTTGCAAGTGGAAAGTTCAATACATGTGGCTGGACTCCCATACATCCGAGTATTTGCACCTCTACATGAGTACCGTTGATAAGGTCACTGAGGTTGAATTGTTGAATCGATACATACATCATCACTGTCACATTTGTACCGTGAGCAGGCTGATAGAATTTTGGGATATCAACTGTTCCTACTGGCACTTTTTCATATAACACCCCGAACTCTGAGGGGCTGTATTTGATACCGAACTTGTTGGGATTTTGAGTAATGAAGATCAAGGAAGCCATTGAACAGGAAACAGAGATTTCTTTCGCAGAGGTAACATTCAGTTTGAAGGCATTGAGGTGTATGGAATGGAGATGAAAAACGGGTTTCTTCGGTTTGAGAACACAGAGTATTAGAAGAATGGCTGCAGATAATAATGTCAAGCTGAGGAAGATGAAGAAGATGAGGCAGCAATATCTCTTAGCAATTGGGTAATTAGACTCTACCTTCTCAAATTGATTTATGTCTTGTGTCTCCATGTCTACAGTCTTGAATTGCTCTTTTGGTGTTTGTTTTTGTATATATTTGTGAGTACATTAATAGAAGCCTTGTGAAAATGCTAAAGCTTTTATTCCTTTCTTAAAGTTGGCTCACATGCTCTATTGCAAGTATCTTCCTAATTTGTTAATGGCTTGTGCCGATGGATGCCTTGGTTCAAAAGAAAATTCAAAATTCACCTTTTAGCTTGTGTGCCATTATATTTTCACATTCTGTTTAGCTGCAATTGTGTACCTCTTCCAATGTATCCTTTGATGAATGAGTTGCTTATGCCGTTATGCCTTGAAGTATTTCGACCATCTAATTTACTAGCAGGTGTTGTTTGAAGTCAGAAGTAAACCACTTTATTTATTTATTATTTTATTTTATTTTATCTGTAATGAAGCCACATGGAATTAATTGGAGCCCAGTGATGTTGAACTCCAAGAGTAACACAAATGGGCCCATAAAATGTAGATGGGTATGTAGCTCTGGGCAAGATGGAAGGTAGGGATTTAGTTATGGGCCTAATCTAAGCCGGCAGGCCTCTCCTCGCTTCCTTATGACAGACATTTATTTCTTTCTTTCTTTTTTTATCTTACTGCTGATCATTTTTGTTTGAAATTTGGTCTGCGTTGTCAAAATATAGTGGAGGGATCACTAATTTTAATTCTAACCATTATTTATTTCATCAGCGGTCGTGACTAAACATTTTGAATGTGAAAATAAGAATGAATACAATTTACGGGGATACGATCACTGCTATATGTAAATAAACCATAATCTCTCTCACAACCATATATTATTTAAATTAAAAGGTAACGGTCTCTCCGCTACTTTTCGCAACTTGAGAGAATCCAAATACTTTTTCTCCCAAAACATAAAGTCTATAGACCAGTTTAATATCAGAAAATGAAGAAGTTTTGGTCTAATTCAGTTTATAAATAAGTAAATAACCACTTTCATAAATTTGGCTGAACAAAACCAGCTAAAAGTCCTCATTGAGTTTTTTGCCAAACGAGGTCATACAGCTGCCAAACATGGCTTATATTCTACTTTGTTTCTTGCATAAAATCCACAACAGTCCTCTGTATCTAGCTAGCTCTCGATCTGCTGTCCATCTTCCAGTATTGCATCAGTCAAAGGAGCCAAGCATAAAAATATTCGCCCACCATCACCATGCTATGTTTAACTCGTATTTAGCTGTAAATCATAAGTTTTAACATTTAGAATATCAAGGCCATAGACAAGAACTTGTTGCCTTTGCATGGAATAGTCAAGTGATAACTGGTATATTTAAATGCAAGCTGATAAAACTCGATCATTGAGTTAGGCTAAAACCATTAATCTGGTACCAAACCCATTAGTGGTTTTGAAAGTCCCCACGCATAAATTCCATCAACTTGGTGTGATAGCAATTTGGTGTTCATTTAATGAAGAATTGAGTCGTACGCAAGATATATACTTAGGGGCTGTTTGGTTGCACACTTTTTGAGAAAACTTTTCTCAAAACATCTGACAATGTCAAATTTGTAATCAAAAATTTTCCAGAGATTTTTGTAAATTGTGTTTGGTTCAACAAAAAATTTACAGAAATATTTTCTATAAAATATCAAAACCTACCAAATTTTACAAAAAGAAATTTCCTCTCAAAATGAGAGGAAATCACCAGAAATCTGACACATACCATATTTAATTAAAAACCTACTAAATCTTGTTATTTTCTATAAAATTATGAGCTATTTTCTTGTTTTGAACCAAACAAGCAAAGTACAAAAAACAAGAAAATTTGTACTTTTTGATTTCTCAAAACTTTTCCTATAATTTTTTTAAGAAATACAAGGAAATCATATTTTAGGTGAAAAACATTTCCTATAATTTCTAGAAATTCTAGAAATTGAACCAAACACCCCCTTAAACTCCCAAAATTTCTCCGTCATCCCTTCGCATGGGAGAACATCTCGTCTTGACCCTGAGAATGGGGAACATCTACTAAATTTTATGTTGGCGGTGGATAAGTAATGCATCTCTAATATCTTGCCACTCTAATTACCATAGTTGAAACAAAAAGATAAGAATATTTAACTAAGTGGGGGAAAAGATCAGTTCATGTTTGAGAATTGCTATAAGAAATAACAGGAGCAGGGGAACAGGCGGAACAGGCGGCGATTGGGAGTGGGAGGTGACCTAAAGGTGGTACGGTTCTCGAAGCGCCGCTCAGTCTCTTTTCAAGACGGTAAGTTCATTATCTCT